CTTTATTTCTTTTTTTTTTTTTGCAGCTGCACACAGTTATGAACAAATACAGGCTTGTAGCCTATGCTTTTAAGGAAGGTCGACTGTTAAACACATTGGACTATCAGATTTGTCTGAGAGCCATATTTGGGCAAAACACTACTGTCTTAGACTTCTGGCAGTGGTGGCCATTGTATCTAATCTCTGAGCACTTTGTAATACTCATCCAACCTATTAAAGCCAGAGTGAGGTGCTGATGACGGTTTCCATCTTCAGGGTTTGCACGGCATGATCCACTAAGCCCTATTACAGATGCTGCTCAGCTTGTGTGTTGGCTTAGCGACCCTCTGTTCCTTCATTGGCTGTTGTCAGCATCCCGCGTTATACAACATTTGCCAGTAGACGATGACGTAGTGTGGTACTGTATAATGCCAATTTAGTCTCATAGGAATTTTAAGTGACCTTGTGTAATGTAGTCTGATCTTTTCTCATAGTTTACACAGTGTTACAGCTTGTTAATCAAAGTATAAATCAAGTCACTGTTTATTTCTTTCCTCAAGACCCCATGACTTTTTTTAGCGCAGTTTTCTTTCCTTGGTGATGTATTTTCTATTGAAACAGGAATTTAAGATGAGACATTTCAAAGGGTTTGTGTCTTTTATAAAATAGCCAATGGGCTTTAGTTACATCACAGCAATGAACATTATCCGCTATTTTCTAATCAGTTATTGGCAGTATTACAGGGAGGGATTTTCTCATTCTAGAAAGCATTTGATTTGAGATCTGTAGTGCAGGGTGAATATTTTTGCGCTGTTTTCAATAAAGTGTAAAGACTATAAATTTTAAAGGGATAGTTTACCCAAAAATGAAAATTCTGTCATTAATTACTCACCCTCATGTCGTTTCAAACCCGTTTTTTTTTGAACGAAGGTTTGAAACGACATGAGGGTGAGTAATTAATGACAGAATTTTCATTTTGTAAAAATTGGTGAACTAACCCTTTAAATGCTTATATCTAAAATGAATTTTTAGGAGAACACTAGCATATAGATGACTTCAGACACAGACTCAAATTTTGATTTAATGGGATCTGAAAGATTTTAAAAATGGTCTCTATATAAAAATTGCTGTCTGACTACTGCAGGCAAAATTACACACTAATGGCAGTTTTTTTTTTTTGGTGATGGCCTCTCAATGAGTACAGCACTAATATTAGTCATCAAAGTAGAAAGAAGTGGGCTGCAAAAGCATTGTTCTGTGAGCTTTGAGGATGCGTTTTTGGCTTAGGTTAGTAGAGAAGGATGTTTTTGCAGTGTCTGTACTTTCAGAGTCATGTGTAATTTAAAGCAAGCTTTACATCTCTAGTTCATCAGTAAACTAATTTTGCACAGAAATTACGGTATGCAAGTGGAAGGATTTTATATTTCCCAACTCTTGATGTTTGATGATAAATGATTCACACACTTACAGGATCCTTTTTTTTTTTTTTGCCACACTTGCCAAAAGTGGGTAAATTGGGAAATAATTTAACAGCCATCAATATGCCTCACCAGTCATAAACCTGTGTTTGGCATTACTTTTATGAATATTTTATTCATATGAGCATCTGGAATTTTAAAGTTGACACTTCTAGCCCTGGAAAAGTCATGGAAATGTAATGTACACTGGAAATGTAATGAAGACTGGAGTAATGGTTGCTGAAAATTCAGCTTTGCCATTACAGGAATAAATGTACATTTTTAAAATGTATTAAAGTAGAAAGCAGTTATTTTAAATATTTCAGAATATTACTGGTTTATTGTATTTGTGAGCATAAAAGACTTCAAAAACATTTTAGAAAATCATTACAACCATAAACTTTTAAACAGTAGTGTAATTCATTAAATCGGTTGACAGCAGTCACAAATGACTGGAAAAGTTCAATGGTCACTAGGTGTGAGAACCTTGATAGTACAATCAATATTGTGATGAAACCTTCCTGTTTGTTGTCCCCTAAAGCTGAAATGTGATCCATGTCAGTTTCATTCTTATATCACCTTTCTCTATTTTTTTCCAACCCTGCAGATTTTGGCTTTGGAAATTTCTTCCAGCCGGGAAAGCCCCTGGCCACATGGTGTGGGAGTCCTCCATATGCAGCTCCGGAGGTGTTTGAGGGACAGCAGTATGAGGGACCCCAGCTGGACATCTGGGTAATGCTGCTCTGCACTGATCTGACAAGCCAGCATTATCCGTGCAGGTTCACGCCGCAGTGTATTTGACAGTAAATGATTAGCGAGTCAGCTGACAGTTGTTTGTGTTACCACCTATTCAACCTTTGAGAACTCAGCTGTCCATGTGAGATAGAGATCAGATCATGTGAAAGCTCTCTTGCTCTCTATTTACTGCCATTAAAGGAAGAGTTTGCCCAAAAGTGAAAATCATTTACTTACTCTCAAGTCGCTTTCAAACACGTATGACTTTATTTGGTGGGATGCTCATATACAGTGAGAAAAGAGCAGCATTAACATTCTGCTAAACGTCTTTTGTGTTCCACAAAAAAGAAAGTCATACAAATTTAGAAAGGGTGAATAAATATTCATGTTTAGGGTGATCTATCCCTTTAAATGTGTGCACCTGTACATTTGCACATTGTAATCGTGTTATTCACCACTGAGCTGACGCTGTGTGTGTGTGTTTTCCTGCAGAGTATGGGGGTGGTTCTGTACGTGCTGGTGTGTGGCGCCCTGCCCTTCGATGGCCCCTCTCTCCCCATTCTGCGGCAGCGTGTTCTGGAGGGACGTTTCCGTATTCCTTACTTCATGACAGAAGGTGAGACTAGGAGAGGTTTTCTGGCAGCAGTTGCCGTTTTTTCATGAAATTCAAGCCTGGTCAATTAAAACATTCCATAAGTGCTTGGCTACAGTTTGTGTGTGTCTGGACTGTATAAAGAGGAACGGCTCTTAACTGCTCGGAGACGTTTAGCAGTGGAACATGAAATGAGTCATGATGATCCACCAGCAAACTAGTCATCCTGTACGTACTAGTCTATTAGTGAGGTTGACTGGTAGGGAATCGGGATGCTCTGATATTACAATTCTGGTCAATATCTATAAAATGATTATTTATTTTTATTCTGTTGATGATAAGCCAATTAAGTGCTATTATATACAATTAAATTTTAAATGCTACATGTGAATTTAAGCATCACAGCATTATATGTAAATAGGAATAATGGATGTTAATTTTGAGATTTGCTAAAATTATTAAATTATTAGTGTTTTCAAAGAGGAACTTGCAGGGAACGTTAGATGACTCCAAAGATAATCTACACTTACTGTTCAGAAGTTTGGGCTGGGTAAGATTTTTGAAAGAAGCTTACTAAAACTGCATTTATTCGCATATTGTAAAAATACTAAAATTTTAAATAGCAAATTATTTTCTATTTAAATATATTTTAAAATGTAATTTATTCCTGTGATGCAAAGCTGAAGTTTCAGCAGTCATTACTCCAGTCTTCAGTGTCACAGGATCCTTCAGAAATCATTCTAATATGCTGATTTGGTGCTCTAGAAACATTTCTTATTTCTTATCAATGTTGAAAACAGTTGTACTGCTTAATATTTTTGTGGAATCTGTGATACTTTTTTCAGGATTCTTTGATGAATAGAAAGTTCAAAAGAACAGTATTTATTTGAAAAAGAAATATTTTGTAACATTATAAATGTTTTTACTGACAATTTTGATCAATTAAATACATCCTTCCTGAATAAAATAATTACTTTATTTAAAAAAAAAAAAAGAAACTTTTGAAGGATAGTTTAAAAATAAAAATCAGGGAAATTAGCAATTAAACATGCAATAAATTAAAGTGGTACTGCTATGTCATGCATCCCTATTCACTAGTATATCTGAATTTTTATTTTTCAGTTTATATTTTTAGCATGGATTCCGCCGTTGTGTATTTTATAGTGTGTCAAGTCAGAGATAGTATTTTGAAAGCACGTCTCGAGATCTTGCTAGCTGAATTAACCCACTATGTAAATGCCCCCAAAGAAACGCATCCAATCATGGTCAAGTGAACCAGAACACCAATCTAATTATACAGGGCTTCCTTAAAACTGATTAGTCTACTAGTTGTTAACCCACCCACTTTAAAGTGGTTGACCCACACTGAGTAAAATCACAGCAGTTAACATTTACTCCACTCATTTTACAGGCAGAATAACACAAGCTGCAAAGGGCAAGATTGTGATCGAGATAGAAAGGAGGGCAAGAGAGATAAAGTGAGAGGGCATCGGGTGAGAGCAAGACAGTTCAGACTATCCTCGCTGGCAGTGAGCCAGTTCACGGTGGGCCGCTCTTGACGTAAGAGTCAGAATGTCACATTCGTTCATTCTACACAAGCTTTGCTCACTGTGATTAAACATGGATCAAGTAACCCGAGGAAGAGTGAACACGTTAACCTACCGGGAGAGGGGGCCAGTAGTAGGGGTCAGTTGACTTTATTCAAGACATTTAAACAATTAAGCCACGTTGAGACTTTTACCGCATAACTCAAGCCCTTGCAGGTCTCGGAGTGAAGCTGAGCAAATGAGAAGAACAGCGTGTGCTTTTCCTTAACATTTCCTTTTCAAATGCTCTCATCACACAGGATTTCACCCCTACGGAGTATCGAGCCCTCCTCAGCGTGCTCTTAGCCAAGAGTGCTAGTACACAACACGTACTACAAGCTACACACTACGTTACATGGTGAATACAGCACACGCACCGTTGGGAAAGATTATGAGCGCCTGGTGTGTTATACAGGGAGTTTTGGCTTGCTTCTCCGTGAAGGAGAAGTGCTTTTCCAGAATTATCCTGGTAGGTATAATGAGGACTCAAGATGATGGAACATTCAGGAACTTGCACAGTAATGGCATTATCTTCTATGATGTACTGTAGGACAACTGTCAGAAAAGCCCAACTTTCCTACGGTACTTAATAATTTGAGGTGAAATAAAATTATGGATAGGGAAGGTACTTTTACTTAGAAAAGTTTACACCGTAAAAAAAATTCAAACTGGCTTTAAAAGTTAAATCTTGTATAACTTAAAAAACTTGAAATTGGTTAAATTATTTAGACGAGTTAAAATAATGGAAAAACATTTGTTGCCATGACTTAATAATCATATAATTTTTTTATATATATAGGTGTCACCAGAAAAAAATGTTTTTATCACAAATATATTTGAAAAAAATCTTTAAAAAAAAAATTGTAATGGATGGATATTTCATTTTAATTATTTATTTATTTTTTCGTTTTATTCCTCCTTGTTCTTGCCATGAAAATAGTCTTTGCTGCTGAAGTTTTTATTAACATTCATTTTAATCCTTTGTTTTAACACATCTCTGAATTTACGCAGGAAAAAAAAATGTTTGTGAACAATCTGGATATCCAATTAAATTGTTCCTGAAATGCGATCTGAAGACAAAAGGAGTCTTACATTGTCTTTACATGGCAAAAGCCCTGCAAAAGCTGCATCTTAATCTGCATATATACCACAAAAGGTGCATTTAAGCTGTTGCATGCTGCATAGAGGCAGTGCATTTACACAGAAGTTTTACAGCTGGACATAATGTTTAAATAATGACGCTGCATCATTTGCACAGAACCAAAGCAGCATCTGATCCTCCTCTGATACTGGGGTCTTTGTTAAAGTCGACAATATTACTGGGACAAAGTTCTGTGCGCTAAACTTGAACTTTTTGGGTAAATATAAACATCTTTATGTTTAGGGAAACCAAAGCACTGCATACCAACACAAAAACGTTATCCTTACCATGATGGAAGAGGTGAAATGGTGTTAAGCTGCTTTGAACAGCCGAGATCAATGAACTCCAAGAGGAAACAAGACTCTGCAGCAGCTGTGTAAGATCTAAAGCTCAAAGACGTTGGGCCATGTTTCATGATTCAAAACATAAGTCAGTTGCAAAATTACTCAGACAGTCTGTGTTTTAGGATTTTGAAATTCTAGTCTTGGGCTCGAAAGGATAGTTTACTCAAAAAATTATAATTCAGTCATCATTTCTTCACCCTCATGTTGTTTTAAATCTTTATGCATTTCTGTGAAACACATAAGAAGATATTTAAGAATGTTGGCAACCAAATAGCTTTTGTTCCCATTTACTTCCATTGTATTTTTTGTTCATATAATGGAAGTCAAAGGAACCGAAACTGGATACCAACATTCTTCAAAATATTTTATGTTCCACCTAATAAGAAAGAAAATCATACAGGTTGTGATTTACAAGACGAGTAAATGATGACCGAATTTTAATTTTTAATTCATAAATATAATCTTCAATTTCCTCGCTAAAGCACATGGTGATTAAAAATCTATAAATATCAGTATAACAGCCAGTTTGCATCTGAAGAACCATTCATCCTAAAATCAAGGTATTTCCAGAGGGTTCACAAACTGTTCCTCACAGCTGTATTTATGCATATGATTTCTACATGAATATGGTAATAAGATTCTCTGATTCCCTCTGCTGAAGTGAGGGAGCCGTCGAGAGGAGGATGTTTCCAGCAAGACGACATCCCACTGTGTTCCAGCACAAGGAGTATTACTGTAGCTGTGTGGCTCCCTCTGTTTGCTCTAGTGTCTCGCAGGCTCTCCAGAAACCGTAAATGCTGCAGATTAACAGGATGAGCCAGTCTTGAATAAAATGGTCAGCAGCGAGATGCACAGAAGCATTGGGAACGCCTGCATCACCGCCAGTCCTGTGAAGTCAGTTTCATTCAGCCCAGCTGAGTCAGACATGGTTAATAGTCAAGGGCACAGGGACAGACAAAAGGCCTTGTGCATTCTCAAAAGGATAATGTGTTTTGGGTTTGTGTTAGTCCGACAGTGCAGCATTTGTTGGGCAGTTTTTTTTTTTTAGTTGTAGACAGACTGTTTCACAAATCTTTTCCAAAGCATTGGACGGTACAGGCTGTCACCACTTCTGAGTGTATATGCCTCAGATGCAGCAGTATTTACTGTGAAGCAAACACAATGTGACCCTTTCAGGTTGAGATTGTACAGAGCTGCTTTTCTCACTGCTGAAACAAGCACAGGACTTTCTTACTGCTCCCACAATTATGATAATACTTGACTAGTAATAATAATAATTTACTGGTAATTGCTATCAGAAGAAACAGTTCCTCTGCCAAGTAAACTGTAGGCTGTTTGGGTTTTGCAAAGCAACATAGCAACTTGATGCATTAATATGTGCTGTCGCATGTGTATTTAGGAATATTTTACAATGGGTTTTGAATCCTTGTACATTTAATGACCATAAATGTTTGGGGTTTTTTCTGCCACAAAGCTGTATTTTGTATTAGTTCATTAAATGTATCTCAAAACAGCTTTTAATGGGTGTGCTTAGACATGTGAAGCAAAACACCTAAAACCATAGTAAAGTGTTTTCTATTTAAATATATTTTAAAATGTACTTTTGTATATTCCTGTAATGGCAAACTGAATTTTCAACAGCCATTACTTAGACTTCAGTGTCACATGATACTTCAGAAATCATTCTAATATGCCGATTTGATGTTATTTATTATTGTTATTATCAATGTTGTAAACCTCACTCCCCTGCAGTCTTTAGTGTCCTTGTTAGCGCGCTTACCTCCTTCCTTCGAATCCCGCTTAGAGCGAGTTGAGTAGAACCAGAGGGGTTACATTGGCAAGTGTTATTTTTGTTCCTGGGTACAGGACGTGTCGTGTTTATCTTTTTCCTCTTTTTCTCTTTTATGTGCAGACTGTGAGCATCTGATCAGGCGAATGTTGGTGTTAGACCCCTCCAAGCGTCTGTCTATAGGACAAATAAAGGAACACAAGTGGATGGTGATGGAGGTGCCTGTGCAGCGGCCGATGTTATATCAGCAGACTGTAGAGGGGGAGGCTCGTGTGGGAGAATACAGTGAACAGGTGCTCCGGTTGATGCATAGCCTGGGCATTGACCAGCACAAGACAGTAGAGGTGAGAAATTACACACATTTCAAGAAATGAAATTGCATCCTTAATATTCAAACAGGCTTGACTAATGTGGCTCTCTTTTGATAATTTCTCCATCTGTTTTGCAGTCTCTTCAGAATAAGAGTTACAATCATTTTGCTGCTATCTACTACTTGCTGGTTGAGAGGCTAAAGGCCCACCGCTGCAGTTTCCCAGTGGAGCCCCGACTCGATGCCTGCCAGAGACGTCCCAGTACGATTGCAGAGCAGACTGTCATCAAGGTATCACTCTTCAAATTGCCTCTGAAAATGAAAATATTAACAGCCATGTAAATATGGACTTAGCCAACTAGTTGACTTTCCGTATCTCTTTCTCTGCACCGCAGGCGAGCAGCGCTGCTCCTCAGGTGAGCCTCCTGCCTCAGAACGTGCGTCTCCTGAGATCCCCAGCTGTGCCTCAAGCCCCTGCAGACTCCTTCACGTTCCCACAGTCCTCCTGTGCTACTGAACACAGCCTCATGGAGGAGGAGGTTGGGATTCCCAAAGTGAGTGAGAAATGGGTTAGAGGTTGAATTATGGGGGAATGAAGCTTGTGCTTCTCTTTGTAGCCTGATTATACATTGATTTTTAAAGCTTTTCACTGTAGCATAGCAAATGTTTCAGATCTTCTAAATTTTGAGTGTCAAAACATCATTAGATGAAATGGAAACCAAGAACCGATACCGACAAAAATATTTTTCCACTTTTTTTTTTTCAAGGGATTGATTGATGGGTTCGTGGATTGATAGATAGATTGATGGGCAGGTGGACAGATGGTAGATGAATGGTAGATGGATAGATATTGATTGAGTGATTGATTGATGAAAGACAGATGGATGGATGGATGAATGGGCAGATAGATAGATTTAAATAAAGGCTAAAGGAATTCAGAGGAATTTTGTTCACACATATTACATTTTTTATTTTCTTACAATGTCTTGCCCAGTGTCTACCATATATGCATTTTAGCAAAATCCCCCATAATCCCATTCTTGGGGGGTGTTGATTAGCTGGTACAAACATCTGTTGTTACAGAGTTGAATCTGACTGCTGCCCATTGAGTGCTCTTACACTCCTTCCCAACATTGCTGTTAAGCAATTCAGTCCTTCCAAGGTCAGGCAGTATGCCTGGCTGTTTGCTCGGGCCTCCTCATCACGCCTGCTCCCCGAGGAGCCTTTTGTTCAGAACCACCCTGACAGACGGCCAGATCGGCTGCCAGCTTGGCATACAGAACAGGAATAACAGCACAGGAGCCGGCCAGCTCTGCCACTCTATCTCCTCACTAGAGTCCTATATACACTGTCTTCATTTTTATCTGTCTGTCTCTCTCTCTCTGCTGTCTCTCTGAGACAGTAATCTGCTCTCTCCAAGACTCTTCTTACACGCACATACTTTGTTTTAATGCCTTTTGCGTCGATGAGGGAGAAGCTGTTTACTTTGATGGTTTTTAGCCTCAGTCATTTTGTCTCTATGCATCTCTGATGGTGAGGTGAGACATACACTGTGAGTGTGTTTCCCCTTGAGGCCGTCCACATCTGTTTGGCTTACATAAGCAGGTCAGTCTGCAGCCGTCTCTGGCAGTGACACACATTGGATGTGACAGCTGTCCATTCGCTCCAGCTTAGTCGTTCCACTCTTTCTTCTCTCTCTCATTCACTCTCACATACGCGCACACCACAGACTGTCTGGCTTTGTGTGCGCCGGTATTTTACCCTCTTCGGAAATGTGGAGTTATTGAGCATTCATGGCTTTCATACTGAACATTGCATCAGCCAGTTCCTCTTTTGAACAATGTGTTCAATAAACAATGTACAAAATTCCTCTTATTATAAAACTTTTATCTGTAAATGTCACCTGTATACATATATGGATGTTAGAGTTTTGTTGCAAGAGGAAATGTGTACATTGTTTCTTGAATACATAGTTTAGGAGAGGAAATAATTGACTCAGTAGGAAGTTATTTGGTTGGTATTTATTTAAATGGCATTTACGATATTTGAGTAGGATATTTAATGCAAAAAATCAAGTCCTTTCCAGTGTTATTTTAGTATCATTGATGTTATTATAGTTTTTGTTCATATTTAGAATTAGATTTTATTTTTATATTTTCTGTTTTCACTTTAATTTTAGTTAAAGGTTTAGTAATTTAGTGTTTTTTTGTCATTTTAGTCATTTTTCTCTTTTTTTTAAACTATGTATATAGTTTTAATTAATTTTTATTCATCAGTTTCAGTTAATTTAGTTTAGTTATTTTAGTACTTCAAGTTTAATTGAAAATGAAAAATGTTGTTTTGGCAAGGTTACATTTTCTTATATTTTATTTCAGTTTACATTTATTTTGTTTCAAATAACATTTTTTTTTAATGGTTTCAGTTTTAAATAACTAATAACCCTGTTTTTTTTTCATAATTTTTTTAATCACGAATTGATCAGGTCATAAAAAAGGGCTATATATGATTGGAGTGTGGACTTGGTGACATTAGCAAAAAAAAAAAAAAAGTTGTTTCAGCGGTGGAGCAAGTTATATCTTTTTAAAAGATTACAAAAAAAGTGCACAAAATAGTCTGTTTTCACACAGGTTTCCCCAAACAAGCCCCCATGTGCTATTGGCTGAACAAACCGATAGCCCTGCCCCAAACTCACACCATTGGTTGAGGCAGTGTTGCTGTTGTCAGGCTAGTTTGCTCTGTTTGTTCAAACTAACTGAGCAATATTTTGAAAGCACCATAGAGATGGTGTTTACATTTTGGGGGAAATAAATGGCTGCAAACGTCTTATTTATAGTTGTCTCTGCATATTAAGATGAGACATTTTTGCACTGAAAAATGACACACTTCCCCTTTAAGATCAGAGGAGGAATTGTGACACTCTCCAACATGAGATGTTTAAAATATGAAGCTTGATCTCACAGAGTACGACACAACCCCTGTTAGGGAGGGGACGGCAGGGATTACATAATTTGTTCAGAGTCTGTATAATCACACTGTTTGTGTGTGAAGGGGCCGGGCAAAATGATGGGCTGAAATGTAAAAAAAAAGAGAGAGACAGAGAGAGATAGAAGAAAAATAGAGAATCTGTGGCCGTTCTTTAACCGTGTGCTGGGATAAGAGCATTCCTGGCCCAGCATGCTGCAGGAAACTCAACTCATCCAGATGATCCATGTTGGTTGAGTGTGTGTGTTTGATGGCATGTCTCAGTGTACTCCGTCTGCATGAGGCTCTGACAGCCCTCTCAGCCAAAACACACTTCCTGTCCCTGCATTCCAGAATTCCACCCCCTCCTCGCCAGCTCACTCATTAGTTTGAGAGAAAAGCAAGAGTGAATGAGAGGGAGCAATAAAAAGAGGCAAAAAGGGAGAGACTGCAGTGCTTTTGTTTATTCTCACTACGTCCCCAAATCATTAAGGAATGTGTTCATGATGTTCAGCCTGTCATCACAAAGCACGTTAAAGTTTGTGTGTTTGGTGCTGACTGAGTGGAAATTTGCCTCAGGACTGTGAATGACTTATGAGGGCTGATGGGAGATTAGAACTTGTTCTTGGGAAATACAATGCTTGAAGGCAAATGTCTTATCTACAACACTGGTGTAAGTGAGAGTTCATCCAAAGAAAAAGAAACAACCAAAAAAGCTGTCATCTCCAAAATCTTTTATAGGAAATGCATAAATTGCATATATACTACATTTCCACTTCAGAGTAATAAAGAAATTAATTATATCAAAATATGACTCAATGTTTCAGGGTTGTGGCTTTATTTTTCGTGAATGTGTCTTGAATTATCCAAATTGCGACTTCACAGTTCTTAATTTCTTGTAATTGCAACTTAATATCTCTAAAATATGACTCTCTAATTTACAACCATGCTTTTTATCTCACAATATGATTTATATTATAAAATTATGGCTTTATCGTAATTGCCTTTGCAACTTGAGTTCACAAAAACACAACTATATTTGTCATAGTTATGAGTATATACGACAAAACTTAATATCTAGCAATGTGACTATATCTCACATTTTTTACTTTATTTCTCATAATAGTAACTATAATTCTAGAAAATACAACTTTATAGTTGCCATTTTTACTTTGTTTCTCACAATGTGACTATATTGTCACATGACTTTATCATAATTGCGACTTTATATACAGTATCACAATTGTGGCTATATAACTCACAATATGACAATGCTGTATCTTGCAGTGTGAATATATCTAACATTTGTGACTTTGTTTCTGGTAATTGCAAATATATTTTTTGTAATTGCAACCTTTTATCTCTAAATTATACATTTATAGACTTTTTATCTCAAAATGTGACATTTTGAGATCATGACTTGCATCATAATTGCAACTTTCTATCTCACAGTTGCAACTATTTCTCATAAATGCAACTATTTTGCACAGTTGTACAGTAACTATGGAACTTAAAATATGATTTATTATCTTGCATTGTGACTAAATCTCAGATTTGCGACTTTTAATTAATATCTCCCACTTGTGATTTCAGGTCCTCTAGAAAAGCTTTCCAAATACTTTTCGCTACAAAAAACATTATATTTAGAGATCTTTACATTGTTTTGCAGGTCAACGGCTGCATGCTGGACCCCCTGCCCCCTGTGGCTGTTCGCAAATCCAGTGCCTCGTCCCCCAGCAACATGATGGAGACATCTATAGACGAGGGCATCGAGACGGAGGAGCTGGACACCGAGGATGATCATACCCATGTCTTCAATGCCTATCAGACGGCCCGCTTTGGTCAGCGCAGACACACGCTGTCTGAGGTCACCAATCAGCCAGGAATCATGACCAGTGGAGGTGGGTGTGGCTTAAGGGTAACCCGCAAGGTTATAGGTTCAAACCAAACCTAACTTCATTATCCCTGTACCAATAGTATCAGTTTGGATAAAAATGACGATGAAATCACAATCATCTGTTTCATAGGTGTTAAGATGATAAATTATTGTCACCTCTCTGTTTACGCAGGTAAACTGTTCAGCGTGAGTCATAACCCCTCTCTGGGTAGCGTGGACTCCGAGTATGATATGGGCTCCATGCACAGTGACCTCAGTCTGCTGGAGGATGCACCCTCTCTTAACGAGGTGGTCCTGGCCAACACACCCATCACCCGCATGACTCCGCCCTTCATCAGCGCTCGGCCCGCTAACCCCACCATGCAAGCGCTGAGCGCCCAGAGGAGAGAGACCCACAACCGCTCTCCCATCAGCTTCCGCGAGGGCCGCAGAGCATCAGACACCTCACTCACACAAGGTGAGCAGCATCCTGTGATTACAGAGAGACTATATACACAATCATTTCAAAAGTTTAGATTTTTTTAGACAAGATTTTTTAAAAGAAATTAATACTTTTATATTGCAGAGATGCATTCAATTGATCAAAATGACATTTACAAAAGCTATTTCAGATAAATGCTGTTCTTTTGAACTTTCTATTCATTAAAAAATCCTGAAAAACACTGTTTATGCATAAATATTACAGTAATACACGGTTGTTATACTGATAATATAATTTATATTAAATATAAACAAATAAAATAAAAAATTAGTAAAAATATTAAATAATTTAAAAATATGCACAAGTTTCCATGTTTACTAGTGGTCTCAGGACGATTGGATCCTACTGTGGTATGTGTCTTGGATTCGATTTCTCTTTCTCTCACACTTACTGTTATTTTCACAAACTATCTCTACCTGTTTTTCGCTTGTTTTGTGTTTTGAGTGAATCAGAATTGATTAGCCACGTTAAGTGAGGTCACATGGTAGAACCGCACCAGAGCAGTCAGAGGTGGCGTGGGCCTGAGGGATTTGAGAGTCACTTCCTCTGTTCTGACACTCCCATGTGAAAATTCATCACCACACATGGATGTGGACACTGGGGGTGGAACATCATCTGATGATCTGTAAGTCATTCGGAAATAACAGTGCTATTATTCATAATCTTATTCCTCTCTTCATGTAGGCTTGGTGGCCTTTAGACAGCACCTACAGAATCTGGCACGGACCAAAGGTATCCTGGAGCTAAATAAGGTGTATCAGCAGATGGGCTCTGGAGAAACCCTTTCCCTGGGGCTGCTGAGCGCTCAGGCCCATCCACATGACTTATTGGATCCTGCACTACAGGTCAGTCCACCAGGGAAGCTAACCTGAGATCGGTTTTGTAGTATCCCTTACAATCAGGAATGACTAATGCAGAGGTTTCAAACTGGGGGCCGCCTGAAGAAAAAAAAGAAGGCTAAAAAGAGGTTAACATAGTAACTAATTATATTATTATGTGTTTTTTTTACACAGTTACCAAATTTGATTATATTACGGTTTCATTCTGCTTTCAAAACTGGTAAAAAATTCTGAAAAAATTAAGTCCTAGTTTTAAAACATGAGAAATAATAGACAAGTCTGTATTTATTTTAAAGATGTATACATTTCATATTTCTATAATAGTGTGTAGAAAAAAGATAAACTTTCTATATTTTCTATATATTTATCGCTCTCTCTCTCTTTATACAAGACAAAAACATCAAACAGCACAACTGTTTTCTTGAGCATCAAATCAGCATATTAGAATGATTTCTGAAGGATCATGTGACATGTCTGTTAAGTAAAATAATTAAAATAAACTTAAATAAAAAATCATCACAATTATTTTATTCTATTGACAGTCCTAATTCATAAACAAACAATATAAATAAATATATATATATATATATATAATTATTTTTTATTTATTTTTATATTATGAATTAGGAATAGAATAAAATAATTGTGATGAATAAGGAATTAAGGCCCTTTCCCATGACTCCAATTAATTGAATTTTATGTACTGGAATGTTGATGCAATGGTTGCATCATTGCAAGGTTGAAGTGATCCAAGCGCTGTGCGTTACTTTGGTTGAAAAGTGTCAGAATGCCCTTACTTCTACCCTTCTAACCTCCCTACTGACACACAGACAGCCCTGCTTATGTAATTACAGGAGAAGAAGCAGCCAATTGTCAGTTGTTTACTGTCCATCCGGTAAGCCCCCTGAATGCGGCCATTGTTGAGTAACAGGCTGGTGACTGGTGCCCAATGCTCCAATGCAGGCTCACCAAAGACAGAGATTTAGTATGAATCAGTGAATAAATACTTATGGGAATAACACATAGGGATACCGTGCAGGGCAGGCGCCACTGTCTAGATGAAGTCCAAGAAAAAAATCAGCTCTAAATCGAGTTCATTTTACTGGGCTAATATAGCAGTGAAAATGATCTTCCATTAGAGGCATGTGGCATTGTGAGGATTAGCTACTGGAGCAGACTGGCATGTTTTTCCCAGAATCCCTCTGGGTCAGCGGACAGCTATTCGGCCTTTTCATAACCAAGTAATGAATTCATGCATTTGAGTGCACAGCCGTCAATGTGGCTGCCTAGCGAGGCGCTGACATGTTTTCTGTGTGTTTGTATGGTTTGTGCAGGAGGAAAGAGGTCACCAGCACGACATGGCTCTGTGCTCAGGTGGAACACACCCCGCACTGTTATCAAGGAGACAGAGTCTGGAGCCGCAGTACCTCTCTCACAGAATACAGGTGACGCACCTTTATTTCTGCCAATTTTAGCTCATCTGAGATGTGTGTACACTTATAAAGCACATTTCCAAAGCCTCATGGTCTATAGGAGTTGGTTATTAATAATAGTTTAAGACAGACATGACATAGCAAGATCCTACCAACCAACAAGAATACCTTAGACACCACAATTTATTATTTAATACTCTAGCGGTTAGTGAATGGGATCGAATCTGACTTGCAACATTCCTCATTTGCATTCTCCCCCCCCCCC